TATTGATGTCTTTTGTATATTTTTTTTTTACACTACCATATTTTCTTCCTGGACTCCTCCTTCAGAGAGCCATTCTATATAACAAATTTTTTTTAAAGCCAAAAAAGGGGGAAAAGAAGATGGAAAAAAAATCAATGTAACTGATCAATACATAAAAGCAGTAGTCTCTCTTCAAATCTTCCTGCCTCCTCTGTCATTCCTCTATACTGAATATTGCTTCCAAATAGGTTTTTTAAGGCATAGTACTCATCATATTCTTCTGCTCAGAAACTTCTAGTGGCCCTTTACTGCTTACCCATTAAAGTATAGAATCCTTGCCTTGGCTTTTTGTGATTTCTGTTCTTTGGTCCTAGCCTAACCTTAGCCAACCACTGATGCCAAAGACACCAAAGTTGATCAGTTCAGTGAAGACCTACGACATCTTCTAGAAGTAAGACCAGAAAAAGATGTTATATTCATCATGGGAGATTGGAATACTAAAGTAGGAAATCAAAAGATAATTGAAATAACAGACAAGTTTGGCCTTGGAATACAGAATGAAGTACAAAAAGAGTTTTGTCAAGATAATGTGCTGGTCGTAGCAAACACTCTTTTTCAATAACCCAAAAAGTGACTTTACACATGGACATCATAAGATGGTTGATATTGAAATCAGATTAATAATATATTTTGTATCTAAAGGTGGAGAAGCTCTATACAGTCAGTTAAAACAAGACCTGAAGCTGACTCTGGTTCAGATCATGAATTTCTTATTGTAAAATTCAGACTTAAATTGAAGAAAGTAGAGAAAACCATTATATTATATAGGTATGACGTAAATAACCTCCCATATGAATATGAAGTAGAGGTGATGAATAGATTAGATCTGGTAGGTAGAATGTCTGAAGAACTATGGTCATAGATTCATGATATTGTACAGGAGGCAGCAACAAAAAACATTCCAAAGAAAAGGAAGAGCAAGCAAGCAAAATTGTTGTCTGATGAGGCTTTACAAATAGCTAAGGAAAGGGAAAGGAGAAAGTGAAAGATATACCAAGCTGAGGGCAGAATTTCAGAGAATAGCAAGGAGAGAGAAGGTTTTCTTAAGAGCAATGCAAAAAAACAGAATAATAGAATGGAAAAGACAAGAGATCTCTTCAAGAAAATTAGAATTATCAAGGAAATGCTTTGTGCAAAAATGGGCCATGATGAAAGACAAAAACGGTAAGGACTATACCGAAGCAGAAGAGATTAAGAGATGGAAAGAAGGGGCAACTAGGTGGCACAGTGAATAGAGCTCCAGCCTTGGAGTCAGGAGTTCAAATCTGGCCTCAGACACTTGATACTTACTAGCTGTGTGACCCTGGGCAAGTCAATTAGTCCTGATTGCCTCGCCAAAAAAAAAAAAAGAGAGAGAGAGAGAGAGAGAGGAATTCTGCCCAAAAGAACTATGTAAGAAAAATCTTAATATCACTGATAACCATAGTGGTGTGGTTACTGATCTAGAGCCAGACTTGCTGGAGGATGAAATCAAATGGGTCTTGGGAAGCATTGCTAACAAGGCTAAGTGGAGGTGACGAAATTCCAGCTGAGCTATTTAAAATCCTAAACGATGATGCTGTTAAAATGCTGTGCTCAATATGCCAGAAATTTGAAAAACTCAACAGTGGCCGCTGGATTGGAAAAGATCAGTTTACATCCCAATCCTAAAGAATGGCAATGCCAAGGAATATTCAAATTACCAAATAATTGCATTCATTTCACATGCCTGCAAGGTTGTGCTTAAGATTCTGCATGCTAGGCTTTAGCAATACGTGAAGCAAGACCAGAAGAGCAGGCTGGTTTTCAAAGAGGCAGAGGAACCAGAGACCAAATTTGCCAGCATTCTCTAGGTTATTGAGAAAGCAAGGGAGTTCCAGGAAAAACTTCTGTTTCTTCTACTACACTAAAACCTTTGACTGTGTGGATCACAACAAAATGTGGCAAGTCCTCAAAAAGATGGAGTACCATGTCATCTTATTTGTCTCCTGTGGAACCTGTATGTGGACCAAGAAGCAGCAGTCAGAACCAAACATGGAACAATTGGTTGATTTAAGATTGTAAAAGGAGTATAACAAGCTGTATAGTGTCATGCTATTTAACTGATATGCAGAGTACATCATGTGAAGTGCCAGGTTGAATGAATCAAAAACTGGAATTAAGGTTGCTGGGAGAAATATCAACAGTCTCAGATATACAAATGATACTACTCTGATAGCAGAAAGTGAAGAGAAATTAAGAAGCTTCTTGATGAGGGTAAAAGAGGAGAGTGTAAAAGCTGGTTCAAAGCTTAACATAAAAAAACCCCAAAGATCTTGGCAACTGATACCTTCACTTCCTGGCAAATACAGGATTTTATATTCTTGGGCTCAATAATCGCTGTAGACGAAGACTGCACCCATGAAATTAAAAGACACTTGTTCCCTGGAAGGAAAGCTATGGCAAATCTAAAATCCATGGACAGCATACTAAAAAGCAGAGAGATCATCTTGCCGACAAAGTTCCATATAAGTCAAAGCTATGTTTTTTTTTTTTTTCCAGTGGCAGTGTATGGCTGTGAGAGTTGGATTGTAAGGAAAGCTTAGTGTCACAGAATCGACACTTTTGAATTGTGGTACTGGAGAAGACTTTTGAGAGTCTCTTGGACAGCATGGGGATCAGATCAGTCATACTTAAAGAAATTAATTCAGGCTGTTCACTAGAAGGTCAAATATTGAAGCTTAAATCCTTTGGCCACATGATGGAGAAGATGGGACTCATTGGAAAAGACCCTGATATTAGGAAAGATTGAAGGTAAAAGGAAAAGAGGATGGCAAAAGATGAGATGAATAGTTAGTGTCATGGAAACAATGAACGTGAACCTGGACAGACTTTGAGAGATAGTAGAGGACAGAAAGGCCTGGCATGCTGTGATCCATGGGGTCACGGAGAGTCACACAGCTGAGAGTCACACAACAAACAACCTTAGACATATTTCCTGTTATTGCCCTTCACATATCTTACCTACAATCTCAGAGCATGTATCATACTTTCTGACCTCTGTGATTTTGTTCTTGCTTTTATTTCTGCCTGTAATGCCCTTTTTTTGCTTGCACCACAGCTCTACCTCTACAATTCCTACCAATTCTTCAATACCTTACTTAGATTCCACTTCTTTTGTAAAGTCTTTCTTAATTCCCCTAAGTCATAAGAATAAATCTCCTCTAAACTTCATGACTTTTAACTTAATTTTCAGAAATAGGGATAGGGACTGAACCTGTGGTTCATTTCATTCACTTCATTAGGAATTTCCAAGTGAAGAAGCTTCTATTACCAATATGTTGGCCCCTTTTCTACAACTTTTAATCTTAGACAGTTTTGCCTCATGCACTGAGAAGTGACTTGTCCAGGGTCATAGCTTAAGTATGGATCCACGGCAGGGATTGACTTCGAAGTCAACTTTCTGTCTGCCAGCCATATGGCATCTTATAAAATGTATTTTTACCTTTTCATTTCTCTTTCATTGTTCATGTTTTATTATATGTGCACATCTTATCTTCCCTGCTAGACTAAAAATTTTAGAAGAAGAGGAGTGATGGGACCCAAGTTCCGATGCTGGCCTTGCCACTCACTACCTAGGGAATCTTTGGCAGTCTTCACTTTACCTCTGTGACTTAATTTCTTCATCCGTAAAATGAATGGACTGAATAAATGACTCTCTGTGGTCCCTTTCAGCCATAGATGAACGATGTCCTTTGTATCTCTCCATGGGACATAAGACAGTTCCTTGCTCACACTAGGCACTAAAGTAGTAGATTTTTAGTGAATGAAATGATTCCTCTCTTTCTTTGTGGCAGAAGTTAAATTATTTCACATTTAAGTGCTTTCCTTATTGCAACCCTGTGGTAGTACAAGTATAATTATTTCCATTTTACAGCTGAGAAAATGGAAGCTCAGATGTTGAGTGGCTTGCTCAGTCATATAACATAAATTAGAGACAGTACTCAAATTCAGGCCTTCTCACTCCAAGTTCTGAGTTTTTTTCCATTATACTAACTTCACTTTCTAGGAAATATGATTATTTTGCTATTTGTGGCGGCACAGCTTTCAGTAACACAAGTCATTTACAATTGGCTTTGAAATAGGGTCCCACAGGGGCAGCTAGGTGGCTCAGTGGATAGAGTACCAGCTCTGAAATCAGGAGGACCTGAGTTCAAATCCGGACACAGATCAAACACTTGACACTTAATAGCTGTGTGACCCTGGGCATGTCACTTAATCCCCCAGTTGCCTTACTAAAAAAAAAAAAAAGAAGAAAATAGGGTCCCACAGCAGTTATATTATCTAGACTCTAATGGCCCTCACCACAGTTTGGTCAGTGGAAGGAGGAAGGCTTCAAATAATATACAATATTGAAAATCTACTGATATATCCACATTTTGTATTTTGTTGTTGTTTAGTTGTTCATTTGTGTCTGACTCTTTTTGACCCCATGAGCCATAGCATTTATCCTCTACTATCTTGTGAAGTCTGTCCAAGTTCAAGTTCATGTCTGTTGTTTCCATTTCATCCTCTGCCGGCCTCTTTGCCTTTTGCCTTCAAGTCTTTGAAAGTTGACTGTAAATACGGCTCTCTCTCTCTCTCTCTCTCTCACACACACACACACACACACACACACACACACACACACACACACACACACACACACACACACACACAC